TCGGGGCGAGCAAGACGGAGCGACCGAACCGAAAACCTCCTAGACCGGATCAAATTGGCTGGTTGGGTCCGATTCCAGAGAGTGCCGATCTGGTTCCAGGTTCCTAAAAGAAAAATCAGTGTCCGGATGGTCAAATTTCCCATATATCGATTATTTTCTATTTATTTATTTATTTTTTAAATGTCACGTAGTATCGAGATACGTTTCCTTTTCCATTTAAGTTACCTTAAATCTTATCAAAACCAAACAAAATGCAATTACCAAACACGCATGTGCTCCCCTTCTCCTCTCACCTGGTTGGTCAACTTGCAGCAAAGGCGTCGTCACCGTCCCCTGCCTCCATCGTCGTTGGCAAACCAACGGCTCCTTTGAAACCTTGCCGACATCATCTCTCTCTCACGCACACCTGTCTCTGCCCTAATCTCATGGAAGAGGTTGGGCTAGCATCGAGTTCGTTGGCTGCATAGACCCCGACGCCGCACATGGGCTCGGCATCGCCTCTGCAGCCTCGAAAGCCACAGAGGCCGAACCGAGCCTCCAAATCTACAAGATAGATCGAGCCCTCTAGGTCCGTGATGGGTTAGAAGGCATTGCCTTTTGGGCCGTTCTTTGATATGGAGAACATTGGCTTCTGTGGGTCTCCTTCGCCTCTCATGGAGTTCGAGGCATTCTTTCATTGGAACTTGACTGGTTACACTAGACTGTCCGGGAACCGATCACCCCTAATCTAGATAGTCAAATTCTTTCCCGTTAAACCACTTTTAATTTTGTGGATGTTGCTATTGAAATTGCATTGTTTATTATTATAAAAAACATGACGTCTAGTTTTAAGAAATAAGAAGATATTCGACTTTTTCGATAGAAAAATGAACGAAATTATAAATGATAGAGAAGTGGGCGAGGAATGGAGGAATAGATGGAAACCATGGATCTGTTGACGGCGGTTACCACGGTTGTGCTCGAATGAGCCCTCGCCTAGGTGCACAACGGCTCTTACACCCCTTGGGCCTCAAGCACATGCACAAGTGATGTGGGGTGAGGTAAGGGGTTCGTAGTAATTTGCGAGATCATGACGGTTTATTTAATTTTTTGGGTTGGTTCATCTCGAGCGAGGTTTGATATTGTCGATATCGTGTGCCTTAGCAATGCCTAAATCTAATGATTAATCGGCGAAGGTGTGAACATTGATGGTGGTCGAGGGTTACGCAATCAAGAGTAGCAAATTTAGGGGTGTTAATGGGGTCGAAATGTCCATGGCTGGTTTTCATGATACCCAATCCAAAACCGTACAAGGGTAGGATACACCCGACCCGAATATCATATAACCCAATAACGAGTCGGGTTGAGTCGGTCCAGGTCGAGTTTCAGATTTCATCCTCTCTTTTTTTCCTATAAACCAGTACAAAAGTGGGAGAACGAGGGGAGATCTTGTCGATCAAATCTTGGAGGTGACATCTTTAGCAACGATAAGGCAGCTTATGAGAGTCCACCTTATACTTATGGCTCCTTTCTGCCTCCTCAGTATGGTTCTCCTACGTTGTATGGATAGCCTCAACCCTAACAATACCAACACCTGAAATAAATAGAGCCTTCATTCTATTAAATTTTTACTCGAAGGTAAGTGTTAAGTGGCAACTCAGGGCGCGAATAATTACTATTCTATTTGCCTGATTTTCTATTTTTTTGTTCCTGAAAATTATTTGGAACAGAAATCCGTTTGGTAAAACAATTTCATTTTTCTAATTCCCGAACAAATTTTTAGCTTAGAAATAGGTTTGAAACAGAAATGAGAAGTTAAAACTTTATATTTTTCTATTTCTAGAATATAACAATTCTCTTTTTATTGCTTGCCCTTACCGCTCGCCGCCGCCCACTCATTGACCGACCCCCACCACCTCCCATTGTCTATTGTCACCCACCCTCTGCTTGCCGATCGTCAATCGCCTCCCACTGCTTGCCCATCGCCGTCCGCCTTTTGCTTGTCCACTGCCATCCGCCTCCTGCCTGCCCCGTTCGCCTCCTGCCCACCTCGTCCGCCAACGTCGGCCCGTTGTCCACCCCCGTCCGCCGCCAGCTGCCCACCGCCGTTTGCTGCCTGCCCACCCGCCCACCCCCCACCGAGAACAGAATTTTAAGAATAATCTATCCAACGAATTTCTATTTCAGAAACAGAAATTTTATATCGTTATTAAATACTACTTTTTGCTCAGAAGTTCGTATGAAGAATAGAAATAGATTTTTCTATTTCTAGCAAAAAATAAAGCTTGGGAAGAGAAATTTTATCATTCACGTCTTAAAAAAAGGCAAGCCAACATGAAACACAGGATCTTCTCAATCCCCTCAAAGCTCCTCACGTAACCATTGCACGATATATTTGGCTTTTCACGAACGACCCAATAAAGCAATAAGATGAACCGTATTGTACTCCTCTTTATTTTGCATTATAGTTTATGCTTTGACAATCGATGGATCTTTTCCCTCTTCTTTACTCGTCTCATTCGGTACCATGTGAACAAAAAAGGTATGGCAAACTTTGCAATCCGACCTCGTAAGTGAATAACGCATCAATCTTGATTCCAAGCTCGTGGGATTTTTTTTCGGGGAAGACAAGACATGTCGTGCTCGAATCTAGCATAGTTCAAACGATGTTATCAAAGTCAGGGACACTCACCGTGCGAATTTGTGTATCGAGGGCACCTCAATTGGACAATTTAACTAGCACAGCGGACATGTGGTCTTGAGAACCTCGTCACATTGCCTCGTATCGAATGCATTGTGCACTTTACAGTGCCATCATGCAATACTCAATTTGGAACAGCCACCGCTATTTGTCTATCCAGCATTGTCAAACGTTAGGATTAGGGTTTCAAGTATCATCAATCCAGCACTACAAGAAAATCACGGTTAAAACAAATAAAACGAATTATAGAAAACGAAAATATGAAGCTTATTGTGAAAATCATTATTTGACCTAACATTGCTTTCGACAGCATTTAATTTTGTTTTCTCCGAATTCAAAGAAATAAGAACAAACCACAAACCTCGATGTTGCATAAAGTCATTATCCACCTTGAAGAAAGAGGGCAATTTGTGAATCAGAATCTAAGAAGTAATTTGAATAAAGGAACAATGACACAAATTGTCCCTAACTTTTGATTTAATGTATAATGGGGTTTCTAAACTTTTAATTTGTTCAATGTGATCCATGAACTTTACCCTAATGTGCAATGTGGTCCCTAAAATTTTAATTTGTTCAATATAATCTCTGAAATTTTGGTACATGCTCAATTTGGTCCCTGAACTATATGAAAATATTTAGTATCGTTCTTCCAGTAATTCAATTTAGGGACAATATTGAACATTTTCAAATAATTTATTAATCACATTGAATATGTACCAAAAGTCCATGAACCATATTAAATAATTTAAAAGTTTAATAACGACATTGCACGTTGGCTAAAATTTAGGGACTACATTGAACAAATGAGAAGTTCATGGCTAAAGATTATGGATCATTAGTGTTATTTTTGCTTGAATAAATTTGTTCAAGAGCTAAACAAGCCGAACCCAACTCCATCACTCAAACATGCAATTTGGGCACAACTTTTTGGTCCATCGAGACCGGCCAACTCTTAGGTGAGCTCAAGGAAACTCCCCTTCCAAAAAAAGCTAGCTAACTCGGCTTACCCGATCAAGCACTCGCCCACGTCAATATTTGCCATGCACTCGTCTTAGATTTTCTCCACGAAGGCCGAGCTGCTCTGACAACGCTCCGCCGGGGGGAAGGGTGGGGGGGAGGGCTTGAAGCCACGCCCAGTCCGACTCGACCGATGCGCCTCAAGATCTCCACAGAGCCCCGGCGGCGCCAAGTCTGGCTGGCACCCGGCTCACCCCCATCGATTCCCCCTCTAGTTTTGAATAGGGGTGAGCAAGATGGATCGCTCGAATCGGGACCGGACCGGACTGGACTGACCGGTTTGGTCCGGTTCTAGGGAATATCGGTCCGGTTCCTGGTTCCTAAAAGTAGAACCGGTTTCCGGGTGGTCCGGTTCCTAGTTCTATGATGGGAACCGGACCAATAAATATATATTTTTCTAATTTTTTCATATATATTTATTTACTTTTTAAATATATATATTTAAATAACAAAAGAAGCATTTGATAGTTCATTTTTATTCGGTTCCAATGGGACCAACCCAAAAATACTTTCATATATTGGTCCCGAAAATGCTTTCCGGTTCCCTCTTGCCTTTACCAATTGGTCCCATTGGAACCGGGCCGGATCGGACCGACGGTCCGGTCCGGTCCACGGTCCCAAGATTAGCCGGTCCAGTCCCCGGTCCTAGAAATTGGGAACCGGTCCTCTCGGTCCGGTTCCCGGTTCTTGGATTGGACCGGACCGGACCAGAAACCGCTCACCCCTAGTTTTGAACATCCAAACGACGAAATTCGGCCAAAAGAGAGAAAATAAAAGAAAAGAAAAAGAAGAGAAAATCAGCTCGAGATCTTCTGGGCCCCCAAATCCAGGCCGTCCGTCTGGACGGGCCCAGTGGGCCCCCCCAGGGCCCCGAGCACCTCCTTCGAGCAGAAGCTACCCTTCGCCTCCCCTCCCCTCCCTAACCTCCCAGGAGAAGGAACGCGGAAAAGAAAAAAGGGGGCCGGGGGGGGGGCAAGAGATCGTCGTCCCCTTTTAAACCGCTCGTCCCGAATGATGACGCCAGCCACAATTTTTATGCAAGGGCTCCCTAATTTTACCCCACCCCAACCTTCATTTTCTCATTTTTCCCCCGCCCCCATTTTTATTATTCACGGAAAAATAAGAAGAAAAGAAAAATGGCCAGAAAGTAGCGGGACTCTCCGAGGAGAAAAACAGAGAGGAAAATACGAGAAAATAAAAAAATACCGCAAAAGTCATCTCGAGAGAGAGAGAGAGAGAGAGAGAGAGAGAGTTTCTTCGGGCTCTCTTTTTATAAAAAGGGGAGAGAGAGGGGGAGGGGAGGAGATATTTTGGATTTGTGCCTGCGTTTTACGACGTACTGGGTCTAGGGTTTCTTCTCTTCCTCATTGGATCTTCTTCAATCCATCCATCCATCCATCCTCCCTCCTAACAACTACGACGCACCAGCGCTTCTCTTTCGTCGTCGAGCACAGGTCCCCTCCTCCTCCTTCCTCCTCTTACCTGCTTCCTCTTTCCAGGTTCCCCCTCTCTCTCTCTCTCGTCGCGTCGCTTCTCGCCCTCCCTCTTCTTCGCCCATTTTTGGGGGGCGGCTTGCTTGCGTGCGCGCTCGTTCGGGGGGGGGGGGGGGGGGGATAAGGGGTTCGTGTTTCCGAGCGAATGCTTCTCCCTCCCCCCGCGTCGTCGCCTGGCATCGGGGGGATTTCTTTTTGCATGGGGTCCCGGGGGCATCGCGAGCGTTCTCGTTGCTCCGGGCTTCTCGCTTCGCTCGCATTTCCGCGCCCGCCCCTCACCTTCCTCCCCCCCCCACCCCTCCCGCGGGGACGCGCTAGATCGCGCCTCGCGTGCGCGTCTTCCTGCTTTAGCTTCTATGATTTCGACTGGTTGTGTGAGGGATTGGGGGAGAACGTGGGCGATGCATCTGGGAATTTAGGGATTTTCGGATGTTTTTTTTAATGCGCGTGCGATTTTTTTGGGTCGCCCGTGGATTTCTCTCTCTTTTTTTTTTCCTGGATTTCCTGTCGTGTTTTCCGGCCCTCCCGTTGTTGCGATTGCGGTTTCGCATTCTTTTTTGGGAATTCGTGTTTTCTGTTGATTTTCTCTGCTGCGTTGTTGCTCGTGCCCTTGATTTGATGATGTTTGGTTTTTTGCATCGGGTTTTTTGGAAATCGCTGACATAGCTGCCGTTTATCTGTCTCAGGGAGACTATTTTTATCTATTGTACTGTAGAAATCGAAGTGGGAGAAGTGTTTGCTTTGGTTTTTTGAGGCCCGGGATATATTTGCTCTCGAGAATTCGAGCGAGGGTGTTTCGATTGAGATATGCGAGCTTCATGGGCAGATTTGGCTGCGTCTTCCGCAGCTGACAATGTAGGGGCTGGATCTTCTGCCAACAATGGTGCTGCTGTTGCTGGCTCGGCTCCCGGTCGAAGTGCGTACGTCCCTCCCCATCTGAGGAACCGTCCACCCTCGGCAGATCCACCGGCACCTGCTAATACTGGGCCGACTCCTGGTTCTGATCGGCCCGGTTCTGGTTCTGGTGCCGTTGGGCCACGCTGGGGAGGTCCTAGGAATGATTTTCGGGCAGGATTTGGGGGCAGCGGCGGCAGTGGGGGCGGTGGCAGTGGCGGCCGTACTGGTGGATGGGGTGGTAGAGGTGGGAGTTGGGGTGGTGGGAGAGAGCGGGAAGTGAATCCTTTTGGAGATGATGTGGACACGGAGCAAGCTTTTGATGAGCAAGAGAATTCTGGGATCAATTTTGATGCGTATGAAGATATTCCGGTGGAGACGAGCGGGGATAATGTACCCCCTGCAGTGAATACTTTTGCAGAAATTGATCTAGGTGAAGCTGTTAATCAGAACATTCGGAGGTGTAAGTACGTGAAACCAACACCTGTGCAACGACATGCCATACCAATTTCCCTGGGAGGGCGTGATCTGATGGCTTGTGCCCAGACTGGATCTGGCAAGACAGCCGCTTTCTGTTTTCCGATCATCAGTGGTATAATGAAAAGCGGCCAACATGTGCAGAGGCCACCACGTGGGGCACGTACTGTCTACCCGCTTGCTCTTATTCTTTCTCCTACGAGGGAGCTTTCGGTGCAAGTAAGTGTTCTTTATCATTTTATGCAACCTGTCATCTTTCCTTGCTGATTTTATCATGAGGTAATTATGTGATTTGCATGCAGATACATGAAGAAGCTAGGAAGTTTTCCTATCAAACCGGTGTCAGGGTGGTTGTTGCTTATGGAGGAGCACCAATAAATCAACAGGTTTAGTATTTCTCTGTCTCACTTTTTCCTTGTTTCTCATCACCTAGATTCTGCAATATCATGATCAACATATAATGTTTTTCTGATAAAGTGCAGTTGTTACTAACTTGTTAGCTTCCAAGAATGTAATGGCACCTGTTTAGAATGATTCCTACTTATGACTTACTTTTTGTATGTTGTGGCTCACACTTTAAACTTTTTTTTTAAAGCTCGAAACGTCTAAAATCTATTCTAGTATACAAATGTCGACATGCAAAATCAAATATTGCTTTTTAACAGTTTTTCGAGATTCACAATGTTCTTAATTTAATTGGAGATTCTGGAAGGAAAGTGATTAGTTTAAGTAATACCTATCTTTTGAATGATTCCCAATGTCTTCATAGATGTATTTCGTTCCCTTATTTGATCCAGATCAGTTCCAATTCTAAAGCTATATTTAAACTTAAAAATGATGGTGTTTGAAAGGTAGAATTCTTTAATGGCATTCTCGTTGATGCTGTTTTTTACTCTCTTGCGTTCTTTGTGTGTCAGCGTTTTGATTTTGGCCAATATTTTTGTTTTTTGAGTTGTGATGTATCAAGCTATTGTAATTGCATGACATTCTTCAATATATACTCATTGGTGATTTTGCATATTTTTAGCTAAGGGAATTGGAGAGAGGTGTGGATATACTTGTTGCTACTCCTGGGAGATTGGTAGATTTGCTGGAGAGAGCTAGAGTTTCGTTACAGATGATCAGATATTTGACGCTGGATGAGGCAGATCGAATGCTTGATATGGGTTTTGAGCCTCAGATAAGAAAAATAGTGGAACAAATGGACATGCCTCCCAGTGGAGAAAGACAAACAATGTTGTTCAGTGCCACCTTCCCTAAGGAAATTCAGGTATCTGTCTTATTTGAAGTATAGCAATGTAAATTCGGTGCTACCTCTCAAGCCTCTGTATTGGCAATGTTTTTCTTAATGTTGATAATATCCCATTTTTGACTGTAAATGCTTTGCTTATGTAATAGAGCCATTGTTAATTATTGGTCATTAAGGCGCGCTTGAGTATATTTTTTAATTTGATCTGTACATTTCGAGGAAAAACTATGATAATTAGGAGTTTGTTCACATGGTGTGGTGCAGCTGGAAACTTGTTGAGTCAACCTTAGTCCTTTTCAGTCTTACATTCTACAAAGAGCTTCTACATTGATAGGTTTCGGTGTTTGCTTTTTTGTCTGTAGCACTTTCTTTGTGATGTATTATTATGTATAATTTCGCAACCTTTTGCTTTTGCTGGTTATATAGGTCATGTGATCTAGTGCAATGGATATCCTTGATTTGGGTTTATTTAGTAGCATTCATATTATATTGTTTGGTTTTGTGCAGAGACTGGCCGCTGATTTTCTATATAATTATATCTTTTTGGCTGTTGGAAGAGTTGGATCTAGCACTGATCTGATTGTCCAAAGAGTTGAGTTTGTTCATGATTCTGATAAAAGAAGTTATCTCATGGATCTTCTTCACGCACAAAGAGATACTGTTATTCAGGGGAAGGTATGGTGGGAGGAAGTCTTTCCTTTTAATTTTTTAAGTTGGAGACCTATGAGTATATATCACTTTGGACGAGAAAAGTTTTGATTTTCTGCTTCAATTTTGTTTTTCAGTTTCTAGTTTTGTGTTATTGTTACTCTTTCTTTACATTCTGGGCTGATCCTTTTTAACATTGGTGTGACTATTGATTCTTGCAGCAATCTTTGACATTAGTTTTCGTTGAGACAAAGAAGGGGGCTGATTCTCTAGAAAACTGGCTATGCAGTAATGGTTTTCCAGCTACTTCTATTCATGGAGATAGGACACAACAGGTCCACCTTCTCAGCTCAGTTCTTCTGTATTGTGGAACCTTGTTAAACGAATTCCTAGAAATGGGCTTTTTGGATGTCTGGGGAAATAGAGTGCCGAAACTTTTCTTATCTTAAATTTGATGGCTTCTTTGAAATGACGGCCTCATGCATGTTCTATGTGATAGTTTTTTTTGACAAGATCTAGTAGTCTACAATAAGCTCTACATGTTGTGGCTTCTGCCAATCTTTGAGCTTTAAAGGATACTCTATAAACGATTTCATGCCTAAATAGCCAAGTGCAAGTAGTCATGAATGCTGCATTGAGAGTTTGTGTTTTGTTTATCACGCTGGTGATGATTGGGTTTTCATCTGTTAATGAAATTTGATACTTGTCGCGCTATACAAGTGAAAGAAGAGCTTGAAGACTTGAATTTACTGTTCTATATGTATGAAGAAATGTCCACTTGACTTAAAACTGATTGATAACCTCTTGCTTTAAAACTTGTGTCGCTGTTCTATGTTCAAAGAATTAAAGATATGCCACCTGTGTCAAACTTATTGATGACCTTTTTGAATGGGTTGGGCAGATAATTCATTGCTTGATATTTGAAACTGGAAAGCTACTGTGGCTTTTATATGTTGCATAGACATTTGTCTCATCTGTTGCTTGACAAGTTGGTTAGTTGGCATGTTTTCATGAGTAGATGGCATTTGCTTTTTTGTGAGCATCCATACATAAAAGTTGATCGGTTGACAGATTTTGACTTTAGTTGGCGTTAGTTATTGAAATTCCAATTTCATTCTAGATGTTCAAATGGCCAAACGATTCAAAATTGGCATTCTGTGAGGGTACATGATCATTACATGATTGAGTTTCGATGAGGCAGTTTAATCTCTCATAGGGGATCTCTTTGTTATCTATAGTCTCCCCCTTTCCCAATAAGTCCCTATTACACAGAGAATGAGAAATTATGGAGTCAAAAATGGTTTGGATTTTAGGTTCTCTGAAGGATTGTCACACTAATTTCTTCTTTAAGGCTGCAGTAGGTTTCTACCTCTTTTGATGTTCTCTCTGTTCCAATAAGAATTCTGTAAGTTCTGTTGATGTACTTCAATCCATCGCTGGGATCCAACTTCTTGGTCCGACTTGTCTTCCTACTTTTGACAGAAGCTTTTCTCTTATCTGGTGTGACTGAAATCTATTTGCTTTTCAAACGCCCCGCTTGTGCAGTTTCCTGTACTGTGATGGCTTAAAGCTCTCTTACACTTGGTTTTCACAGAGACTAGGATTTACCTTCTCTTTTTCTTCTTTTCATCGCAGTGACATTATTCGTGAATTTAAGTGTATTATGTGCAACAGAAAGAACTCTTTCTCTCTCTTTCTGTGTGATAAAAATTCATCCAAGGGGATGCCGAACTATTTGCAAAAAGTGCTCAAAGCTGAAAAATGACCTAATTTATTATTCAAAGAATTCACAATGTTAGTTGAAGCAATTACATTAATAGCTGCCTTAAAGGTTTCTAATACAGCCCAGAATAATAGTTGGTGAGGCTATTGGTTACTGCTTCTAGAGTCATTTTATTAGTTGGCATTTTTTTGTGTATTTAACAGAAAAAAACATAAAAAAGGCAGACAGATGGCCTTGTGCCAAGATTGGGAGGGGGCTAGGATGCCATCTAAGTTCGATCCTGGTGAAGCACCCCGGAGGGAGCAAGGATGCAACCTAAGTTCGACTTCCAAGTACCAAAAAAAATTCACTTGATACTCAAACTTAAAATGGCGCTTTCCATCTGCTGCAAATGCATCTTATTCACATGAAGTAGAGGTTTCTACTTTCTAGTCCTGCATTCTCAGTCTTCTGCACTGTTTGCATCTCACTGCATCCATTTATAGGTGATGTGAGATATCAAACAAAGGAGTGCAGTAGGCAGTGGTTGAGAGGGAGGGAGGGAGGGAGAGGGAGAGGGAGAGGGGGGGTGGGGGAGGATTCAACATCGATGTACCTTTTCGTGGTGAAGATTGTGCTCATTCTACATTTGTGGTTGCATTGTCAGACACAAGGCAACATTGTATTTTCAGCACTGATTGGAGCAACCTCGATTTTTAGTTGTAGAAAGTTCTATCTTCGAATTTGTTTCTCTATATAACATGTAGTGACTTATAATTGACACTATTTTCAATGTTGCAGGAAAGAGAATCAGCTCTCCGCTCATTTAAGAGTGGCAGGACTCCAATTCTAGTTGCTACAGATGTTGCAGCTCGTGGTCTCGATATTCCACACGTTGCCCACGTGATCAATTTTGATCTTCCGAATGACATAGATGATTATGTCCACCGGATTGGACGAACAGGACGAGCAGGGAAGACCGGTTTAGCTACTGCCTTCTTTAATGAGAATAACTCATCATTGGCAAGGTCATTAGCTGAGCTGATGCAAGAAGCCAATCAGGAAGTTCCAGCTTGGCTCTCCAGGTATGCTGCTAGGTCATCATATGGTGGTGGAGGAAGGAACCGTCGCTCTGGTGGAGGCCGGTTTGGTGGTCGTGACTTCCGGAGGGATGGCTCTTTTAATAGGGGTGGATCTGACTACTATGGTGGGGGCGGCAGCAACAGTGTTGGGTATGGAGGATCATCTGGAGGGTACGGAGGATCATCGGGAGGCTATGGAGGAGGTTATGGCGGCCCTGGTGTCACCAGCGCATGGGATTAAGTAATGAAATTTACTCTTCCGTTGTTTCTGAAGTGCAACAGTGGCATTCATACTTCTGCTGGTTATATTATGTCTTTGTCTTGTCTAAGTGGTTCAAGCTTTATACTGTTTGATAGTATGTCTCACGGTTGAGGGGGATGTATTTCTCATATTGGTGCATGCGCAGACGGAGGGTTTTGGAATGCTGATGGGTTTGGATTAGACATTTCCCTATACAGTGGGGAATCATTTCTTTCCTTGAATCGATCCATTCCCGTCTTTGTTGATTCTGGTGGGTGGTGGATGGGTTGTAGAATATCTGTTGGGAGTGTAAAGGGTTTTTTCTGTTGGCCCTGTTCCTTTTTTTCTCAATAGGCATATTCTTAGTGACCCATTTTCGTAGGGTTTCGAAAGGTTGATGAGTTTCTTCTCCTCCCCATTTTATACACAGAGGGTCTTATGTCCCCCAAGCTAAGGAATTTAACTCTTCATGGTTTCTTGTAACATTTTGAAGGTGATTGAACTGACAGACACCTCTTATTAGAAGCAGCTTATTTTGTATTTCTCATTTTCTTTTCATCCATTTCGAATCTTGGCCGTGATGACTGCAAGTTAGATTATCTCTTTTCATGTGTGCCTCCAATTGGCTTTGGGGAATGTTTCAACTGTGCGTAAACACGTTTTGGAACTCCCTGGTTCATACAGTTGGGTTTTTCCCGAGTAATTGATTCTAAATGTTGGTGAATAGAGCGATGATGTTGCAAGTCTTCGTTTTCTGATGACATCGATCTTAGGCATGATGTTTACTACTGATCAATGATGAGTGGCTCGGAAGTTGCTTCATTTGAGAAGGGCAGAGGCCCATCAGGTTCAGGCTGGAGCTACACGTCCTTCTGGGGCTTTGCAATTGCAAGTGCGATTCGCATATGGGTCGCCACTGGCTACAGAAATTGCCGTCCACAAAATGACTACTTTTCAAAAGCAAGTCGTGACAAATTGCCCAAATCCTAGGATATGCATGATATAGGGTATGTATGATGACACCAATAAAGACAGTCTGGAGCGGTAAGGGCAGGCGGCCTTAAATTTTAGGACATGTATGATGACAATCGAGACGCTCCTTATTACAAAGGTACAATTCTTACAGAGACGACTTCAAATATTGATTGTATGGTTAGCCATTTCAAGACGGGAAAGTAGCAAAACTACAGTATAGTATGATTATTCATCATTCCACGTCACTTGACCTGCATCAATTGGATTCACGGTACAATGAACGCTAAAGACAGTGGTCGTTCATACTCCTCCGGAGATCATCTCCTGGAACCGTTTTAATGATTCCTCGCGCTGAATCCGTAACTGGTTCCGGAAGTTCCTGATGAAAGTGTCGGCCAACTCATTTATGTCTGCCTTGGCATCCACATCCAACCTCTTCCTTATGACTCTCGTCTCATCGTTCTCTCTCCCCTTCTCACTCGCTCCACGGTTGACACGGGTAGATGAAGCCGGAACCTCCTGCTGGTGCTGCTGCTCCATTTCGCAGTATTGGCTTTTGCTTGAGAAGGGTGTCTGAGATTGCTGCTGAATCGATGAGAAGAGAACCCCGTGTCAATGCGTATATATAGTCGAAAAGAACGCGCCCTAACGAGCACGAGTTTGGCGTTAGTGAAAGCAAAAGAAGGGAGGCACAGAGAAGTTAAGATAGCGTTCAAAGATAAGCCAAGGGAAATGTGCAAGGGACTTGATGGGAAATGATGTAATTGAATGAACAAAAGGAAAGAACAGTGAATATAATATCGCCAACTTCATCCGCGTTGTCCATTTCTTTAAGTTTCTTATTGCTAAAAAGGAGATGGCACTGGCCATTCCTTTCGGCCTTTACTATGTACGAATCTTCCAGGCTCTCTCTCTTCGAAATGTATATACATATAAGCTATCACGTGACCTCGTGCGGGAAAGCATTACTTTCTAACAACTCTCTAGGAGCCATTGCAAGTCAACACGATTTCTCTAGGCTCCATTCGTTAAAGAGACACGACGCAATCGAAGTAAGATCCGCAACGAGTAAATTTCACAATCTACCGCATTTGGTGACACCTCGAAATCAGACCGTGCCTTTTCCTAATTAGAATTTTACGGTTTCAAATTCATATCGACATTGGCAAGTTAGTGAACAAAAGCGGCGTATGCTCACCATAACGATTGTATTCCATGCAAATGTCGAATTCAAACTTCAATTGAAGGCTTATCTATATACTTCTCTTGGATGTTTATTACTCTTGTGACGTAGAGTTTACAAGATCAGGGGGAAATGGATTTTTAACTAAGACGGGGGCAGATTTACGCGTCATAACTAAGATTAGTTTAGTCTTATCAGACTCGTCTCTTAGGACCTTTAAAGTGCAATTGTTCCGAACTTTCAAAGAGCAGTGGCGTTCACATGCAGAAAGTCACATCGGAGGACCTATCGACTTTCGAACTCTTAATAAATCGACAAGAGAAGGGACGAAAAGTCGGTTTTTGCTAAATCGAAAGGAAAACTAAATTTGCATGACGTTTCATAAGCCTCCAGATAACAGGGTTCCGTGCCCGTGCTTCTAGATTATTAAATGAAAATTTAGTTTTTTCTCCCCGAAGCTTATTGCCAAACCCATCATAAGTACCCCTTGGGCCGTAGCTTTAGGACACGAGCACCACCTAACGGCCTTATCCTACGTTCACATTACATGTGACCTGCTTTCCAACGCGTGGACCTTTGACATTGGAGAAGGCAAAACACAACAGAACATCCAACTTTGACGCATGTTTTTCCTCTTTCCCAGCAACTTCTCAAGCTCGCGTCGATGGCCTAAGGAACAGACTCGAAATTGCGCTGTTTCAATGTGCAAATGTCCTAGGCTTATACCTAATTCCCCACGGGCCCAAACGAGTAAGTTTGGCAATCTCGTGTATCTAGCTGCCCTTCGATCGGGGTTAAGTTCATGTCGCCTTCAAATTCCTCTCGCGAGCTCCGGATAAATCCATCTAAACGAGGGCGGCTTCTAGTCATGAAAGAAGGTTTTTTGCCTTCTCAATAGGACGGGGAGAGCATGTCGCTCGCACTGTGGTATGGTTGAGATTCGCAAGAGATTATTAGGACCCGGATAGGGTTAACCAACAGCATGAGCAGCTCCAAAGTGATTGATTAACTTCAAATGCGCACACACATGAGAGAAGTCCCCTTGAAACGAGCAACAAGTGCCCCGTGTGTTGAGACGCCCCGTTAACGAATCTTCTTTTCCATAATCGGGTAAAGAAAAGTGGCCTACTTTGATTCGTGAAATCCGTGGAGTTTCGAGAATTGAAATTTCTCTTGGTAAATTCGGGACCGCCCCCCGTTAACAAAACTCTAGAGTGATGTCACTGTCGTAAGAGTGCAAATCGGAGCCGGGCAAAACAAACAAATCTTTTTTACCTTTTTCAGGAGCATCAATCATAACTTCAAATTCGTGGATCGATCCAAAAAAAGGCTCACGCTTGCCGTGATTGGGTCTGATTCGCATGGACTGGAGTTGAGAAATGGACCCGACAATACTAGCACGCATGCATTCCACATCTGTCTACCGATCTCATTCAAATATGTGCATCGTCCTCCTTTTATTCAATCCAAAAAACCAAATGAAAGCGACCAAAACCCTCGCATGATCGACGTCGGAAGCCGGCGAAAATGGAAAGGGTCGAGTCTACCACCTAATCAAGACAACAACATCGTCCGTATCGAACACAAAAAAAGAAAGAAAGAAAAGAAAGAGCGATTGCAAATCGAATCAAGCACCCCACATTTGGTTTGGCGTTAACGACACTATCAGGACTCCACACACGATCTCTAGTAGCCACCACCTCTTCGTCGTCCGATCCCCGCCGTGGTTCTTCACTTCAGCAGCCGATCCACCGCTGCTGCTCGTGGAATTTGCTGAAATAGTGGATCATCCATAAAAAAAACACGACAATTAGCGAGCCCGGCAAGGGAAATTAATTATTGGTTTTTTCGGAAAAATTTGATTAAACTATAAAACGGAGATCTCGCGGATCTTTCTATGGTCATTTGTTAGGCGAAAAATGAATCATGTGTCAATGATGAATATTTACCACTAGCAGCTGGTTTGGTTGTGCTGTTGCTGACGGTGCGGCTGCTCGTGGCTCCCTCGAACAGTTTGGCATCGGTCGAGTTGGCCGGCAAATGCAGGAGATCTGAATCATTTACTCAGTTGGATTAACATCAATTAGGAGTAGTGTTTGATTAACGCTCTAGGGAGAGACCGGCGACGTACCGACGCACTGGGTGATGTTGGCGGGGGTGTGGCAGGCGGTCGGGAGGCCGAGGGCGAGGGTGGCGTTGATCTTGAGGCCGAGGTTCGGGTCGTCGCGGTCCTTGATGAGGATGCACAGGCACTTCTTGCTCTTGTCCAGCACCGCCTTCAGCCCCGTGCAGCAGTCGATGGTGGGGCTCTTCGCGTCCCCGCCCACGTAGGGCAGGCAGCTCGCCAGCCCAGCCAGCTGGTCCGCGCACTCCGCCCGGTCCTGGTCCAGGTCCGACCGCGCCGACCCCATCACCGCGGCCGCCGTCAGCGCCGCCGCGAGCAGGCAGCGCAGCCTCCACATGGGGCTCCCGCACTTCTTCCTCCTGGAATCCATCATGGTATGCGAGTGCTGCACGGTGAAGCTCCTCAACGGCTCATGCTGTCCACTTCTTAATTTATGCTAAGAAGGACTCATGAACGAATATCATCGTTTTTTTTATTACTCTAGTGGACGAGTGCAGGTAGGGACAGTGGAGATTGAAATTGATGTTGACCAGTGACCGAGGGAGAGAGTCACATGCGAGCTCTGGAGCATCATTTGCGCGCCGAAATAGGCCGGCCACATTTCTGGTTCCTAAGGTTAAAAAGCTTGTCTTCTTCTTCATCGGACGTGGCCGAAGGTGATAAACCCATGTCTGAGACACTGTGGATCTTTTGGCACCACGATTGGCTTACCATGTCCCTAACTGCTAAACCTATGTTTAGATTATATGTCAATTGCATATCAAGAAACGGTACGGTCTATACTGGGTTTCGCTAAAACGGACCGATTTCTCCTCTGATCATGCGTTCAATTCGTGGGTTATAAGAGCTGTGCATGTCGTTCGCGCGTGCAAACTTGACTGAAATCTAAAAAGGGCGAGTTCCGTGTTAGTAACCCGGTACGTACTTAGAATACCGGTAGGAGAATAGGGATCGAGACAAACACGACTCTCGCTCCAAAAACTCCGGTTTTTTTTGTATAGTTTCTGAACCGTGATTGGTTTGTGCGCCCTACAAATTAAGTCTAACCCAATAATGTTCGGTGCCTAATCAGTGCTATTCTTGTCTAGAAACATTGGTTTTTTTTTTTTTTTGTGTTCTTGTATAAATGTGAGACAAAAATAGTAAATTTTTTGTCCTCTCCATATGTCTGGTTTCTCTGAGGGTGGTCCATTAATTACAACTGTGGATAACGTGGAACTATAGAAAAAATGGATTGAGACACTCTTAATCCAAGTTATAAAATCCATCGCCAACCCGTGAACGTGAGGATTCCAATTAGAATGTTTTTTTTTCTTCTTCTTTATATCCATGAAGTCTTGCCCGTGATACCAAAGAGACTCTGGTCCGTGATTATTGTCCCACGCTGCATCCAAGCTGGCCTGGTCCCATCTTATCAGTTCAAAAAATAAAATTTGAAAAAAAAACGCACACATTAGATCTTTCTCTGGACACACAATATTAAAAGAGTACTTTACATACGAGACTATGGTGAATTGTTTAATGTATCTCTTACACTGGTTCATGTGGAAACCGATCAAGTTTTAAACGATCCGACCAAAAATAAAAGTACTTTTCGACGGATCGATTAAAGAAAAACCGTCTTTGAGATTCTGATCGGTTCGTTGCGCCAGCAATCGTTAAATAAATAATGCGAGGTACCGTAGGATGAAGGAGTCATGTCCTCTTTTCCCCAAACGAGGGCACGAGACAGATTCTCATTCGGACAGAAGCATTTGCACTTAGGCACTCCAATTTTTTAGCCCCGTTGGAACCCTTCACCAAACCCTCCTTCGCCTGCGAAAACAACACGTTCGTTGTCCACTTTCATCTGATGAGGTATTGTCATTTATTGTGTAAAAGGACTCCGCACTTTAATTGCAGCCGTACTGGCCACTATAATTTCCCAACCAAACCCACTAAAGAGGATGAGGACTCATACCTGTCATCTGGAGCTCCAACTCCCACCTACCACCTGTTCCCCACTCAACTGGGGAAGGAAGCTTGGAGATTGTGGTTATCATCATCCTAGAATCCAGCATGGCGGTGCATCAATACGAACCCTTTAGCTCTTGATCTGCCAAGAGGTTCCAATAACAATGGCCATGGAACAAAAGAAGATGTATAGACATGAAGGGTCTCGTTAAGGAGTGGGTCGGGACACTCGGTCATCTTACTTGAAGAGGAAATGCTCTCGTTTTCAATGTATTGATCATTCATGTTACAATAAAGACGGATTTTAGGATACTTGTTAACGATATGCCAATTTAAAAGATACCTGATGTGATGATTTATTAGAACCTTAAAAAAAAGACTAAAACATCAACTTTTCGTTGGACTTACGGTTCTTGAAAGCTATGTATGTGATAATAACTTTCGAATGAAATGGGTGTATGAGTTGGCACAATCTCAAATGCGTGTGCAGTTATTATAAAAAAGAGCATCCTAATATTTGGGAGAGGGGGCCGAGGGACCTTCTATACCAAATCGTGATCCAATATCGTTCCGAATTTCCCATTCATTTTTTATAAGTAAAAGGATAGGCTACAACGATCAGTTTCAGTATCAGCAATCCCTTTTGGATATTACTATAACAGTTTCGCACTGCGATAGAACGTTCGGTTCAAGGTCTTACTACAACTCATTCGAAGCGAGCATATCACCTTCCCCACCATGTTGCTAATGAAAGTAGAGTCATGATTATCCTACACCATGGCATGGCCTAACCTATGTTGCGGATGAACGAAGGCTTCCTAAGATTGAGGGATAATTGTTCAAAAAGTCCTAAATCTATTATATGGCGGCCGAGTTAGTCCTAAATTTTTCAATTTTGCTAATTTAGTTATAAACCTTTTGTAAATTTATTAATGTATTCCTTCTAGCCAATTTTGGTCAGAAATCGCTAACATAGACGCTAATCGTCCTACGTAGCATGACTGCCACTAATGTGAATGATTTTTGAAAATTTTCTAAATTTTTCCTTGTTTTTCTTTTTGGGCCATAGGTGAGGACCGCGATGCCCTCACCCAAATTTGGCGAGGTCGGCCCTCGCCACCTATCGCCTGTGGTCAGTATTGGTCGAGACGAGCCACAGGAAAAGAAAAGGGAAAAAAAGAGAAAAATTCTAGAAATTGTTTTAAAAATGTAAAAATCATCCACGTTAGCGCTGACCACGTCACGCAGGATGGCCAGTGTTGACTGGACCGCCACGTCAGCGATTTCTAACAAAAAAATTTGCCGGAATGGCTTCATTGGCAAATCGTAAAAAAATTTAGAACTAAATTGACACAAATGAAAGGTTTATGATTGAATTGACCACCGTACATTAAGTTAAGGACTTATTGGACTATTTTCTCCCAAAACTGATGAGTGACTAGTGGGTCTTGGATGCGTGACCAAACTGCCTCAAATCTAGGGGTGAGCGGTTCCCGGTCCGGTCCGGTTCCAAGGTGGAACCGGGAACCAGACCGAGAGAACCGGTTCCCAATTTTGGGAACCGCGGACCGGACCGGTTGGTTCTAGGACCGGGAACCGAACTGGACCGTCGGTCCGATCCGGTTCCAGTCCGGTCCAATGGAACCGGTTATTTAGAGTTTAGGGTTTTTTTTTTGTCAAACACTTAAGGTTTGGTTCATATTTTACTAATTTTTGTTAATAAATTTATGTCAATGAAGTTCACTTAGGGTTTAATTCACATTTTACTATTTTTTATTAATGAATTTATGATAATGAAGTTCACTTAGAGTTTAGTTCACATTTTATTAATTTTTTTAAAGAAAAAAATAACAAAAATATATATTAAATAGTCGGTCTGGTCCGGTTCCCCCTTGGAACCAGGAACCGGACCGCCCGGAAACCGGTTCCGCTTTTAGGAACCGGGAGCCGGACCGATAGTCCCGAGAACCGGACCAAACTCGTCGGTCCGGTCCGGTCCGGTCCCGGTTTGGGCGGTCCAAGTTGCTCACCCCTACTCAAATCACTTAAGAGCAAGCCCCACATCACTCGGGCAACCGCCACCGTACTATATTAACAACGTGACTTCGTTTGTCTTTCATAAAATCAACAATCTATAAAATAAGATCAATTATATGGCTTGAGCTAACTGAAAATATTTGGAATTCCAAACAAGATGCTTAGGCATAGGAAGTAGTTGATCATGAAATCATTTTTCCTTGACTCGTTATTCAAAAGTGTAAATATAATATGCAATTAGAAAAAACATTTTTCGATTGTAAATTTTTCACGAAACAAACGACTCAAAAGATTCGTGCGCGCAATAAGTGCGGCTCTTTTGAAAGGTGGTACGATCTAGAGTAGGTACATACATATGCTTGAATAGCAAAAGAGAGAGTACAGTTGGCAAGGGCTATCATTTAGTTTTGAGTCGTTATGGTGAATTGTGAACATGTGGCTCTCATAAATCCTCGCTACGCAAATTGTGCGCATGCATGCGGTTCCTCTTGCATAGGCTAAGCCTGGCCATGTGACCTGTGATCCTGACTTCTAACTCCTCTGGTGCACATTCATGAGCATTATTGTGATAGAGTGGCTTGAAGGGGACCATCATACTCCTTCCATGGGCATTGCTTGATCTCTCTATTCACTCTATACTCGTATTGATGTTTCTGGTCTCGAATCATTGACAAACAAAGACATCAGAGCTACCCTAATCCGTAGTTTCCCTAACTAGTGTTGAGCTGCCTCATGAATGTACATTAACTCTGATGCGCAATTTGCCCTCCACCACTCTGTCTGGAATTCTCTCTTAGCTAGTCTTCTGTTGAAACATCAAGCCAATCGAGTTTTAACTCACACTGTAACCTCTGTAATTCGGACACGTCGCCATTGAATTAGTGATTGGGCATTCTAATCATGCTTTTAATGGCGAATTATCCAGAGTCTGCGTCGTTTCTCGATTTACCAGCCGATGAGCAATGGTTGATGCCGCCTGTGTCGGATCAGTTTAAGACAAGCTTTCAGTTTCGTTGGTATACTAACGTAAGACACGAGTGTGATCATTATCGAATCAATTACCACCAGCAGATGCGAGGAGAGGCCACTGGGGTGTTTAGGTGAGGATCCATTCAATCAAATTGATGAAAATATGGAGTAAGAAGTGAGGTAGGCTGAATTTGCAGGCCCATCTAACTTTCATCTTTTGTCGAAGTGCCAAAGAAAAAGAAAGGTTACAGCTACGTGATTATCAGCACGGTGATTTTTAGCGACACAAGGCGTGACTGCTTAACCCAACACAGTACTCATTAGCCAGTTGAGATTGCTCTAGCATCTTCTGATGAACAAGACGTCTGTTGCCTGTATTCAATGTACCTATATGAGCAGAACAATCCGAACCTACATGGATCAAGTAGACCTATGCGGAACCCATCAAATTCAAAGGTGTTTTTAATACAATGGATTCATATGCATACTGGTTTAGTAAGGGGAGTATATACAACTATATAGCAAGCTACAATGCTGATGCCCGGAGTTTATTTTTGGGTATTGCAGCTATTTCTAGATAGAGTTTTCTCTTTGGGCTAACTCATATGTTTGTTAGAAACATTGGGAAGGACGGTTATCAATCAACATCGGTTAGCATGCCCGGTTAAATTAATAGAGTTGTTGAACGTGACTGTCATTTAATCAGCTTTCTAGCTCCTTACACTTCAGTTTTGCAAGAGACGAGTGCTTTTTATCAGCGGGGGCAACAGGGAGACAAAAAAACATTCAGTGGGGGCAACAAAAAGGAAGCATCAAGCATTCGAAGCATGAATTTGGTAATTTTGTGTTTGTTAGTGGATTCTGTCCAAATGTTATGCGAAATCAAAAAAAATAAAAAAAATCGACTGAAAAAGATATATTTTGCGATGGTTTATTCTCTTCTGATGTTTTACTCTCTAAAACTTTTTGCAACATGACAAGACAGGTAACAGGAGACGTGTTCTAATAGCTTGATTCATCGTGTATGAAATGCATGCGTTCATTCAGTAAGGCAGGAAACAATAAAGCTGTACCTTAATCCATAACCTCAAGCTTTTAAAGAGATTGCAGTAGGTGGGAATCTTCTGAATTTCATCGCGTTGTGTTCCTTATTTGCCTTCATTTTTTCGTAGAATTGATCCGGTAATTACGTCCTCCTTTCGGCTATATTGAAAATTTGCTTAAAGATCGTCCGGCGATGAAAGTTCGACCAGGGCAGACGCGGGATTTGAAGCTTTGGAAACAAAGAGGCCACTTGTTTGCTTTGCTTCAAATAGCCAATTATATATGAATACACCAGGTCAGCCGAACAACTTCATTGAAGATGTGGTGGTCTTATGTATAGGGAAAGAAGAGCCAACCAAGCAAAGTCCTAGCAACTCATCTAAGCCATTGGCAATTTATTTTGCTCTCCTGAGCTAGTTGTAAATTGAGAGGCCAAGAGAATCAACTCATCTAAGCCACTGACTTCATCTTATCCATATGGATAATCATATTGTGCCTTACCTACATCTTAGGTCGGAGCTTCAAGCTTGGCCAGTCCCTGGAAGACTCTGGATTGGACATTTACTAGGGAGATACATCAGACAGAGTGCAAGTTTGATAGACCTGCATCAGTGTGGTGTACCGAATTATACCAAGCCACTAACTCTTCTACATGGATATTAAGTGAAAATGAAGTCCGTTGAAGATCTGAAGCAGAGCCACAGAAACAACAGTTGAGGTGGCTAACCACGGGTTTCTTGATCTCTCACTGCGATTGCTCTTTGTTTGAGCGCTTGATCCTGAGGTACCATCAGTGGAATTCCCCTCAGCTGCAACCAAAAACACCAGGAAGACGTGTGGAGAACATTTCTATGGAGGAAAACTTCATGTAGTTCATGCTGCTAAAAACTAGAAGAATGTAAGGATCGTTACCACTGGGGAGTTTGGTGCTATTTCTCTTCTCAAGGCTTTTCTCAAATCCGTCAAACACCTCAGCATCTGTGGAGTTCGGAGCAAGGTGCAGAAGATCTGAATTTATGCACATGTTTAGAAATAACGGACTAAAGAGGCGAAAATTGGACAACTTTTACTACAAAAACTGGGTATGCCGAGTTTGTTCTGGAGACTGTTAGTATAAACTCATGCAACTTCTTTCGGAAGCCGCCTATGCCTTAAACCAGCCAAAGTTGCTTAACATCCAGTGCATCTACTTCATGGTACATACTTCAAAGTTCTGATATTTTGGCTATTCATTTTGCAATGAGCAAGAAAGACTTTCTCAGAACTAAATTCTGCAAAGCGCAGAGATTTGCCTATTCATTTTGCGATTAACACGAGAGACTTTCTCAAAACTAACTTACCAATGCACTGAGAAATGTTGACAGGTGCATGGCAAGAGGTGGGAAGGCTGAGTGCAAGGGTAATATTGAACTTGATCCCAAGACTGGGATTATTCCTGTCCTTGACAAGAATGCAAAGGCATTTTAAGCTCTTTTGGAGGACCTGTTTCAGCCCAGAACAACAATCTGGTGTCGGAGCTCTTGCGTCGCCGCCGACGTAAGGAAGGCATGTGGCGAGACCCACCAGTTGATCAGCACACTCTGCTCTGTCATGGGCGTAGTCTGAATTCGACAAGCCAAGCAACAGCATCAGCATCAACATGCCTAATGGGACTGCAATACCCATGCTTCTTGATTCCATTGAGGAAGCTAAAGGTGTCTTTGTCCTTATATATTGTCTGGCTTCTTCTCAGGTGTAACTCTTGCAAGTCAGAATCTTGGAGGATGAAGTGAGCAGTCGAAATAAATGTAGGAGGAGTTCAATTCACTGTGATTGCATGACAAGAGGACGATTTTGCCCGCCTGGCTGGGTAATTATGAAGGAAAACGACCCATCTGATTTCTTTACTTGGATTTGATAGAAATCCAAGGAATCTCCTAAAATAATACAGCTTCTTCATAACACAATCTTATCCAGTATCAAGCCCGGACAGATACTGTATTCTTTATGGGGTGAGCAACTCAAGTCCTTGGGAATGCAAACAATGCAAAACAGGGTTCTAAGCTACTCTGATCATAAACCATTAAAACTTGCAATATCACCGAATCTAGCGACAATTGTTAGTACCAGAGCAGGGTTTTGCAAGATGCAAATATTGTCCTTCATAAGTTGCAAGGTGTGAATTAGTTCTTTTTGTCCATGTGGTACATCATTGCACGCACTGATTGTTAGGGTTAGCCATAACCATGAGTAGAGTACTGGGATAGGACGAGCACCTCAGAAAGTAAGTGCTTAAGACTTGTTTTATAGACAGGTGCATTCCTGCATCCTAGATGAGTGCCATGACAAGTACATGTAGCTGATATCAATTGACATTTGATGCTCAATGTATGGCGAAAAAGAACTTCACTGCTCGTACCAATTGCAATTTTTGATTTGGTAACCCATGGAGGCTCCACATTTTGTTGGTGAACTTATTATTGTCACAAGCCGTAGAAATAATCGTGAAATGAAGTACTGGAAGCTACCTATTTTTTAAATTGAGAGTACATTATCATAGCAAGGTACCTTAAAGCATCTTAAAGCGAATACTAATCCCATTTTTGCATGCATGCATGGAACGGCGATGGGCAAACACTTGCGAGAATCAGGTCCATGGCTCGGGGCTAGGAGCAAATTGATCACTTCAACCCTCATTCTTTGTGAAATCAAAAGGTCCCAAGAGCATATCTGTTGAGTTGGTTGAAGGAGAAAAGACAAGCTAAAATTGTATTATTGATTGAATCGCTACTTACAAATTTATAAGCTGTAGAAGCTTATCTCTAGGAATAGAAAAACAGTAAGATCCCAAAATACAAGTAAAATAAATAAGATATTTATCCTAATGATAAGAAGAATTTTAAAAACAAATCCTAACTCGAAATAGGTAAAAAACTAAATCCTAAAAATCTGCTAAGGATCCGCAACACTCCCCTCAAGCCGAGTTGTACAGATCGTACATACCCAGCTTGTCAAGTAGACTTTCAAACATTTTTCTGGATAGGCCCTTAGTCAAAATGTCACTGTTGATTCCTAGGGACGTATGTTAGACTGATAATTCCATCTTCTATCTTTTCTTTGATGAAGTGTCTATCTACCTCTACATGTTTAGTGCGATCATGATGAACTGGATTATGAGCAATACTAATAGCAACTTGTTATCACAATACATCCTCATAGGCAACTCCCTTGAACTTGTAACTCTTTCATAAGACGACTCACCCAAATAAGTTCACAAACTCCGTGTGCCAAAGCTCAAAATTCCCTGCACCGCTTCTAGCCACAACACTCGCTTCTTACTCCTCCAGGTTACAAGATTGCCCCAAATAAAAGTACAATAACCAGTAAGTTGATCTCCTATCTTCCACTCGATCCCGCCCAATCAAGATCTCTGTATCCTTCAATTAATCTATTCTCATTTTTTCGAAAACAGCCCCTTTCCAGGTGTACCCTTCAAGTATTTCAAAATTCTAAAGACAGCTTCCATATCTTCTTCAAGAGGATCATGCATATATTGACTACCACACTTACAAAGCAAATGCTATATCGTGTCTAGTATGTGAAAGATAAATGAGTTTACCTACCAAACGTTGATACATTCCTTTATCTATAGATGTCCCATCGACTTTCTCGCCCGGTTTTGCTTAATGGTTCAATTGGAGTATCAACAGGTTTAGAGCCAAGCATCCTGTTTCTTTCAATAAATCCAATACATACTTTCTTTGGGTAACGGAAATACCTTCTCTATTTCTTGCAAATTCCATTCCAAGAAAATATCTTAAGGATCCCAAGTCCTTAATTTCGAATTCAGCAGCTAACTTCCCCTTCAACCTCGACATTTCCTCTTCGTCATTACTGTTAAGATAATGTCGTCAACATAAACAATAAGGATAGTACTCTTACCTTCCTTATGTCTATAAAAAAGAGTGTGATCCGTCTGTGCTTGACAATATCCTTGTTGTAAGACGGCTTTAGTGAATCTCCCAAACCAGGCTCTAGGAGATTGTTTCAACCCATAAAAAGCTTTGTTCAATCTGCAAACCTTTCCATACTTCTTCGCATCATCAAATCCTGGCGGAAGATTCATATAAACTTCTTCTTCCAAATCACTGTTTAGGAATGCATTCTTGACATCGAGTTGTTGTAGTTTCCAATCAAGGTTTGCTGCAAGAGAGAGAATTACTCGTATAGTATTCAGCTTCACTACAGGTGCAAACGTCTCCCCGTAATCAATCCCGTATGTTTGGGTGAAACCCTTGGCGACTAATGTTGCTTTGTACCTTTCCACCGAGCCATCAGATTTGTATTTAACTGTAAAAACCCATTTGCACCCTACTGGAGTCTTCCCCTTGGGTTTTTCAACAATATCCCAGGTGTTATTCTTCTCAAGGGCACTCATCTCCTCAAATACAGCTTTCTTCCATTGTGGTTCTTTTAACGCATTATGAATATCCTTAGGAAGATTTTCACCTGAAACCCTTGTAACAAAGGCTCTAAAAGAAGGAGATAGATGTCCATAGGAAACATAATTAGAAATAGGATTTTGTGTACATGATCTTACACCCTTTCTAACAGCAATGGGAATGTCGAGCTCACTAACCTTATTAGATCGATCCGGGTCCAAGAATTGACTCGCTTTCGGTTGCACAATGGTCTCCTTATTTTGTTTCAAATTTCTACGTGAATAAACACGTAATTCAAGTGTGTAATTGTGGGCTATTGGGTACGGTTTCAGACTGTTTGGTACGGTCTCGCAGGTAGAAGGAGACACAGTTTCTATTTCAATATTGGTTTCAAGTAGATGATGGTATAGTGGGTAGAGTGATAGGTTGAGATAATGATTCGTGCATTGTAGGCAATGTAGGGACGGTAGGGATAGATTCAAGAGCGTAAAGGATTCAAGATTGTGTCCCAAGAATTGTCTTCCTCTATATTTACTGGTTTCTCCCCCTGAAGAGAATTCTTGAAAAAAGGTTGCTGTTCAAAAAAGGTAATATCCATAGAGATAATGTATTTTTTATGTTGGGAAATAAAACACTTGTAACCTTTTTTTGTGGAGGAGTAACCGAGAAATATGCATGGAATGGCTCGAGGTTCAAGCTTTGAACGAGAAGGATCAGTGATATGAATAAAACACTTGCAACTGAAAACTTTCTGTTCATCATGAAGATCTAATTCCTGCCAAATCTTTACCAGTGAGGTGTAGTATTCTGTCACATCGGCTTCTCCCTGCAGTAGATTCCTTGCTGCATTCCGAAGTTCAAATACTTGAGATGAATTATCAAGGTCTGAATATGCCAAATTTAGATAGTTCCAGAGTTCGGCCGCTGAGGAGTAGTAGAGACAGCTACTTTGGATTTTTTCTGTCACGGAATTGATTAGCCATGACATAACAATGTTGTTGTTGGCATCCCATGTCTCGAAAGCAGGATCCTTTGAGTCTGGTTTTGATAGAGTACCTAAGAGATATCTGAGCTTACCCCTTCCCTTAACGACCATTAGGACTGACCGAGACCAAGAGAGGAAGTTTTTTCCATTTAATTTGAGTGAGGTAATTTGAGGAGAGGAGAGGGATTGATCAAGGAAAGAAGGAGTAGGAGCAATTGTAGAGGAGGACGTGATGATTGTAGAACCATCCGAGTCTGCTCCTCTGCTTGCCCCTGTCATGGCAGTCTTTACCATGGTTTTTTCTCAACTTTACAGATCAGAAAAACCACGCTCTGATACCATGTTGAGTTGGTTGAAGGAGAAAAGACAAGCTAAAATTGTATTATTGATTGAATCGCTACTTACAAATTTATAAGCTGTAGAAGCTTATCTCTAGGAACAGAAAAACAGTAAGATCCCAAAATACAAGTAAAATAAATAAGATATTTATCCCTAATGATAAGAAGAATTTTAAAAACAAATCCTAACTGAAATAGGTAAAAAACTAAATCCTAAAAATCTGCTAAGGATCCGCAACAATATCCCATCTCAAGTGTAATCTTTCTGTAACGTGATGAGAGAGTACATTCTTGAAGTATGCAAAAATTTCTCGCACCTTCTCTTGTGGATTTGTCATTGTGGTAAAACACTATAGTGATCGGACGATATTCGTGTCCTCAAAGACATAATGTTTGCCGTGCAATGGAAAAGAAGATCAACACCGTCAATCGGGTCGGCGAGTTCGGATCAAGTGTATCGTTTGAACTGTCGACAAGCAAAACAAAACTTGAGGTCAGATCATTTCATAGTTCATTGCTTCATATGTGCCTACACTCTGCACCTTCATTTTTTTCTCTTTTCAAGTATCTTTTTCTCTGGATTAAGGTGGCATAATAGATCTTAGGCAGCTAGATAAACGAAACTTATTCACGTCATTTGCAGCTGATAAGCAATAAAAGAGATAAAAACCAGATGCAAAAGGGAGACGTAGCTCACTTGACAGAACTCGAGCAACAGCACAAACGTCCGTACTTTTGTAATTGTTATTTACAGGTTAGACAGCGTGCAACCCACAAAAGGGCTTAAATAGAAGGACCAGATCTGAGCACGCGTTCTAGTTTCTCGGCCTTGGCATAATCGTTGTCTGTGAGAGGCCCAGCAGGGAAAGCCGTGATTTCCACAATTACGTGCGGAGTTGGGAGTTCGTCGAATAAAGCCCTCACATTGTTGCAACATACGCTTTCTCCATGCGCGCTCTCTCTTCTAATTTGACAGCCCTGCACATAAATACACAAGATCATCCAGTCATGAGGCCTACGACCCCGTGCTCTAGAAGATCATAATTCACAGAGACATTTGGGTCAAGCAATTCAAGCAGATGCTGATAGTGATGAACCCTGGTCAGAATGCTAAAATGGTCTGCATTTTGCTTTCAAATAAACTCATAAACCTTGTGGGAAGTGGCATCCGTGAAGTGATCATCCTCAGAGAGCAAGGACGCAATTGCTTTTAGAAGGCGCCGCCCTTCGGACTTGGAAGGTACTCGGTAGTTTCGCCTGAGAGTACCCTTTGTTGTAGGATGCCATTTACTCACCAATTTTCTCCGGTCAGCTGCTTCCTTCTCTGCAAGAGAAACAGGAATTTCATTACTACCCTTTTCCTTTACATAGCAATAGATAACTTGCTGCAATTACTCATATTTTGACAATCATCTTCGGTTCAAGCAAACGTAAGACAAGCGACAATTGTTTCTCAGCAAGCCAATTAGACTTAGTGACTAGTCAGAAACATCTCAAAACTCAACTCTGTGTAAGCGAAGACTTATGGACACAAGCATCAAAAGAAATTTAACCACACTTCGAGGACTCTCTCTCTTTTATTGTCAGAGTGGCTATAACACGTGTCATACATTAAACAACAACAAAACCATCTCTCAACAAAGTGATTGGACATCTCAAACTTTAACAGGTTTATTTTTCTAGAAAACCAGCAATTATGTGAGACAAATCATGTCTTGTGAGGCAAAAGGATATACCAGATATCTACATCTCGGACATACATGTCAAAATGAAATTGAGATCTACTATTTTCAATTTCTGGGACAAGTGAGAATCAAACTTACACTTCTAGTCAAGATTTACACAAGGCGCACCAGTTGAGCATGCAATTTCAGTACAGATGCTGTTCATTGGAAATTAAAATCTTAATATAGAAATGTGTATGATCTCTAGTTTGATATGAGATGGGCCCCGCTCTCTCAATCTTCTCGACAACAAACCATACTCCCCACATTTCCATCCCTGTACTGTGATTGCCATAAGCATTTGCTAAATGTCGATAGCGCAATGCCACATGGGTCAGCTTACTTCACCCGTAATGCGATAGCCACAAAGCACCATTGATCAGCAAAATCTATTAAAAAGATTTCTCGTTCATATTTTTTTTTTTCAACACAAAGTTTCTAATTTAGTAAAGCTGTTCGCCCTCGTTTATCAAGCTAACCAAACACATCACCTTCAATGTCCAAGATGTCTGGTCCAACCTGTCTCGGGCTAGTGAAGTTTGAGAAACAAACTAGCAATCATGGAGCATCAAATAAACAGAGATTGAGATTCATTCTATACACTGCCAATGGGAAGTTCAATTCCACAGGCAGCGTCCTCTACACGACACACGTACACCAAAATCAGACAAACGCATACTTGTGCTCACAAGGAACTCTCGAGATCCTATAACTCTGTGACTCTAGGCCCATTTGATCGGCGGGACGAGTCCATTCCACGAGGGAACATAATCTTGTCACTCCAAAGCAATCCAAAAGCTCCCAATCTTCAGTCAAATACAAAGACTTCGCGAAAATCTAACCACAGGAGCATCAATCAACCCAAGATAAACAAAAGGAGGCAAAGGACTCGGGAGTACCTGGTTTCTTCTGCAAGCTCCCGAGCCACTCGGAGAATCCCAGATCACCAGATTCACCACCGACCCCATCACCACCCTCCAACTCTGACCAAACCCAGAAGCCATCAAGACCCAACAAAGACGACAACACCAAGAACAGAGCCAAAAGGAAGAGTCCAAGCACGATTCTAAAGAACCTGAGACAAGTGGGTTGGCTTCAGATCCAGCCAGCCCCGCCTTGAGCAGAGCATAGAAGACGCAGAGCCGCCCGGCCCAGAGCAGGGGCGCCTCTATCAGGGAGGCACTGACGGCCCCCGTCACGGGCTTCTTGTTCCCGCTCCCCGAGCGCAGCAGGCTCCCGAGGAGGAAACGGGTGCGGGCGGCGCCGAAACCGGGGAAGAGGGATCTGGGCAGGAACGGGCTGCAGGCGCTGAAGTGGAGCGGGGAAGGCGAAGCGGGAGTGGCTCCGACGATGGAGAGAAGCATTTCCGATGCGTTTGTTCTTGAACTTCCGGGAATCAGCACCGTCGCGTCGCAGCAAGAACGATGACGATATTCATTATCCGATCCAGCTTCCAGCGCAGCATTTCGCCAGAGGAATTAGTCTTTCTCTCTTCTTTTTTTTTTCTTTATTTATTTAACAGGTGTTTTATCCAAGTTCATAATCTACTCAATTATTGGATTGTTATTCATTGTGAAGAATAGCAGAAAAATAAAGAAATTAGTGGTAGCCCACAAAATTTGGCCTTTTCCTTCCTCCTCTTCTTCTTCTTTTCCGGCACATGAATATGTAGACACCGGAGTATTGTCCACGATGGTACGCGGAAATTGAGTTTTACGCCGGGCGTTTAACCGACGCGGCTGAAACGAGTGTCATCTAAAGAGCTTATTTTTGCTGTTAGTTCAAATCGATGCCGTCCATCCCACCATACAAGTCGTTTTCTAAGTGCTAAAACAGTGCTACGAGGTAATTGAGTTGTTTTTCGTAACTCGTATAGAAAATTATCAAACGCAAACACGGATTTCATGATTTTGCAAAGGGCCAAATGTAAAAACTCGCAAGCTCCCGTGAACGCCAATATACCCAATCTATCAAACTCCCCTGCAGTTTATGACACCACTGGCACCGAACTGTAATGGACAGAATAAGGAATGATTGTGGATGAGAATTGAATGGTTAGGAATATCAAGAATGCTTCGTTTTTCTTGAAGTCCCAATCCCCAGTTGACTTTCACGATCTGAGCCCGACCGGCCCAACTCTCAGGGATCCAAACCCAGCATTATAATGGGCTCATACATAAACCTTTCAAGCCCGACCCGCTCGTACTCGGCCGCCGGTGCCGGAGTGGCGGGGCCTTTGCTCGATTCCCTCGACCAAGATCTCGAGTCGAGCTACACAGCCGGAGGAGCGCCTTCTTCCTCTCGGGAACTTTGCGTGCAAATAGGTCTGCCGTGAGGAAAGGCTCCGTCGAATTATTGTCTCGTCCTTCTTCGAGATACTTTTCTGAGAGGGGGGAGGGGATCGATCGGGGGGTCGTCTATCCTATTCCGCGACCTCTTAAGATGTTCCGACAACCTTAAGCTCTCAGCATACTCGATCACAAGTATCGTAACCAGCCACGTTTTCAGCAATTAGACATTGAACGGAGATTGAGATGACTAAGACATTGCAAGAGTAATAGGATGAGCAGCGATTAGGGAGAAAAGGAAGGGACAGAAGCCGCCTCCACTCCTTAAGTTCATTCGAATTCCCATAGAATCAGTCTTTCCAAAGAGAGCATGCCACAAATCCTTAATAAATCACACAAGAATCTATAGTAGCTCGAATGACATCTTAATATATCTTTATATAAATAAATAATAAACGACACAAGAACCTATTCTCGAAACTTGAATTCTATGTCAATTTTCGAGCCTTGATGTGGTCTCCAGCTATGGAAACCATGCCCCATATTTAGCAGGTCTTCACGAGTTGTCACTAGCAATATCTTGGATTCTTGAGTGCGTGCTTAGCATCAATTGGGGAATTCTTTGATTCGTCCCTAGAAACATCTCGTTATTGCATGGTGTGCTCGCTCCCCCGTGTGTAGGTGTAGAGTGTTATAGATGGCGGCACTTAGGCAAAATCCTATGGTTACTTACTCATATCACCAGAAATTGGACGTTTCTAGAGTCCTCAATTAGGAGATTCTACACATAACCGGCCGAGAGAAAGAGACTAGAGCCATCTCACAAAAGAAATCGAACAAGTTAAATTTAAAATGCACATGTAACACGAGCGTGGCCGACTCGATTCGACACGTTTCAACTCCTTTTTTAGCACCGGCAAAACCAATCAAAACGTTATCGACTACTGATATGGAAATGTGCGAATTGATACGAATAAATCGAGACGATCCGAATTGTTCGGCTCTAAACACATGCCGGGATTGAAATATTGCAATACGTCTGAGATCATGGTACTACGAGACAAAATATTCGCGTCATTCTCGGGCAGTCACGAGCTCGATTACGAACTAAAATCCACCGTTGTTAAGGATTGACAACAAGTCCAAGATAATCCGACTCGGTTCCTGTCTCGACCAGACCGAAGACTTTATATTATAAAGTCTCCAATGTTCTGTGAAACACGAAGTCGTCGGTCAGAAATCATATCCCTAACTAAAGTCCCCATTTCACATTACGGGAAAACAAATTGGGAAAAATTAATTAACCACGCTCGTTTATCCTAATCGTGCGGCTACGAGAGAGCTTGTGGGACTCTCAGACACAAGTTGTATGCCTCAAGTTAATCTTTCTCACCCGACTCCCGTCGCCATAATCCGTCGTTGCTTTTTTTTTTTTTCCGAATTTTTTCATTTAATTATAAGTAATCATTCTCGTAGTAAAGAAATTAAAAGACTAAGCATCTTTTTTTTTTATCTAATTCAACGTCATTTCCGGGCGACGACAGTGACTGCTAATGCTGATTACTAGAGAGCGCACGCTATAGAACTGATGGGAACTATATAGTTTAATCCTCAATTGAATGGTCTAATGCCAACTAAGATCGCTTTCGAAGCGCAGAGGGACCTTCACGTTGCTGTCTGACTATTCAAAAACGTTCTTTCTCTTTTGGGTTTTTTTTGACCCCGATGAGGGGTGGGGCAAGATGGCCGCCGTTCCTTGTGGGATACGCCCAGCTGAATGGTAAATAAAGAAATCAAACGCCTTATCAGTAGCATTCGTGCTGCCCACGTTTCGTGATTCCGGGACTGAATTTCGCGACCGATATCAGCACGACCGCCGCGTTTCGCCAGTGGAAAAGAGACGGAAGGCGACGGGAATGAAGTGGCGACCGGCCGACCAAATTATACGCTAGAGCTCGAGGGGAAATAGAAGCGATGCATGGCAGGGATCGTTCATCCCCTGCAGATAGAGCTTGCAGGGTGATGAAGAGATTAATAACTCAAAAGGCAAAAGTTTACTTCGCCACCACGTCCATGTCACCGTAAAACAATTGAATAAAAACGAGCCGAGAAGTGGTTGAATATAAGAATGCATAATCATACAATGAAAAATTGATATTAATCAACTGTTTTTCTATACAAACACACGACCCAATATATTCAAACCCTAAGCTGGAGCCATCAATTCGGAACCTCAGGATTAGCACGACTGTCCCCACAAACCATGCACTGTTTTTTTTTTTTCGAACTTAATTTAATTTACCCCATAAACTATGCAAATCTTTTTCAATACAAAGCATAACTCCACAATTTTGTAAATCCCGAAGAAGAAAAAAAGAAAGAAGAAGAAAAAACGTAATCGGTACCCCCACCAACATAATCTATACACCCCCGAAACCTAATCACCATCATCGTCTCCCTGCACACATATCTTTTCACTCTTTTTTTAAACCTTTTCTTGCCATTTTTTCCCTTATTATTTGCTCATATCTACCTTTCGATGTTGATGGGTGCGAAGGTTTTCGAGTTACCCACGTGGATGAAGCTCTTGGGCTCCCCAAATTTGATTTTCTTCTGCGACTCGACGTCATCGCTCTCACCGCCATCATCTTCTTCTTCTTCGTCAAGCTCTGTAGTCTTCGTTAGGGACCGATACTCCACCGTCTCTCCGTAAATCTTGACGAGCGCCAAGTAGAGACCCACCGAGAACACCGTGATCAAGATCAAGAACCACCCGAACCCGATGTTGACCAGCGACTTGGCCCTGTGAAGTGCCTCATCGGAGTGGCACCGGACCACATCGTGACCCTCCTCCAAGTTCAAGAAGCACCCCTTGGGGATCAGGCTGGGGGTCCATAGCATGACGCCCATGATCATGAGCCAGACCCCTTGGAAGAGGATGCTCGTCGACCGGACGACGCTGACGAGGAAGCTCCTGGGGAGGGCGATGCCGAGGAGGGTGGTGGCTAGGGAGACGGCGATGACCGCTTGGAGGAGGAGGTGGTACTGACCCTCGACGCCCATGTGATCGGTGGAGTGGAGGTGGAAGAGGAGGAGCTCCTGGGCGAAGGCGACGGCGCCGATCAGCTGGGTCAGCCCGTTCTTGGCCGTGGCCGTGTTTGGCCCGGTCATGGCCTTGTCGAGGACTATTGCGGAAGCCGCGTAGGTGAAGAAGGAGATGGAGATAAGGGAGTGCTCGAAGTTGTGGAGGTGGTTGGAGGGGATGGTCCAGTCCGAGTCTAGCGGCTGGTGGCGCATCGGGCTGACGAAGAGCTCCATGGCCACGGACATGCAGCAACCGGCCATGATCGCGAGGAGCTCCGAGTACCTGAGCCGCGAGGCGGCGAACCACGGCGGCGACATGTAGGACCGGGGGTGGGCGGCATGGAGCTTGATGTGGTTGAGCAAGTGCCACAAGCCGATGAGGAAGAAGCCGAACCCCGGTGCGACGTGACCCACCAAAGTGCCCATATGCGTTTGTGGTTGGATGGGATTTTCTTGGGCAAGGTTTGAGCTCTTGGTTCTTGGGCTCGCGTGCGCGTGCGTTTTTGTTTATAGGCAAAGTTTGGAGCTCTTTATGGTTTCAGGGTTCTTGGGTGTGTGCTTTCTTGAAGGGACCGAGAGGGAGAGAGATTGGGATTGATATAGGGCAGAGAGAGGGAGAGAGAGAGGCAGAGAGAGTCTTGCGTTGTGAAGCTTCTTGGGCAAAGCTCCGAGCTTGTTCCTGAAGGAATTAGGGCGGGGGAAGAAGGGAGATTTGGATTTTGGTTAGGGGAGAGTGTCGTCTTTATCGTGAGAGTGAGCGACAAGCAATGGGGGGGAAATCGCAAAAGGGGGCCTTTTTAAGAGAGGGGGAGATGCGTGCTGGGGTTTGAAATTGCCAAGGGGTCTAGAGGCTTCCCATGAAAAAAAAAACTGCAAAATTTGACCCCCGAAAAATAAAATGGAACACCCTCTTATCTAATTAGCTGACCAGAAGGCAAAAGATTAGAAGATGGGAAGGAAGGAAAAATAGAAATTGGATTTGAGCTAAGGACAAGGCTTCTAGAATGACTAAAACAGCCCTCCAAGTTTGATTAAGAATAGATTGGGGGCCGTGTCTGCGACAGGTGAAAAGTCTACCAATCTACCAATCAGGAGCTCCGTTTGGTCAAGATTATAAAGATGGAATTCGATTATTTTCTTTTTTCTTAAATCATCTGTGGAGGGAGTAGGTTGGCTGTTCAGACATTCCTGCGAGACTCTTTGTTGACCATGACTATCCTGCCGATTTTCACCGTGATGTTAGCTCTTGAAAGGACGTGACTTGCATTTGCGGTTTCTATCTTTTTGGTCACGGATCAGTAATTGTCATCCCACCTTCACGATGATCTTGTGTTATTTTTTTGGCCATAAGATGATATTGTGTTATTGCAGCCCCAATCTGTGCAAATTCTTGAACAAGGGGCCTCTCCCTCTTCCGTTCCGTTTCCTAACTTGGTTCCCCTCTTGCCAACTGCATGTTTCTGTAGATTAAATGCTTGTCGAGATAGATCGGTAGTGCTCATGCATCTGTTTCGTCAAGACTGATGCAGAATGACCGTGGAAAAACATACACGATCAGGTGATTTCTTTAGTGATTTTGCGTTTGGGGTTTGACCGAGCCGTTTCTGATCTGCCACTCGGGAGTTCCAATCTACCATGGCTAATTTCACCCTTTTTGGAGTGGTTTTGATTTCCTGTGACTACTTTTCAGGACCTTTTCTTTGGTCAATTCAGCTGAGAGATCGAGGAAAATTCGTGAATCAAGCGTTCTCACCCGTTCAACTCCCGCCCGCGGACGTATCACATCCCACTCCTTTCGTGGGAATCTTCTCTTTTCTCATCAGAAGCTACATAAACCCTAAAAATCATGTGGATTGCATGCGTTAAAGTGCGTGCACGTACGTGCAGGCTCTCTTTTCCCCTGTCAGATTGACTCTGCTTTGCGTTGATCGAGCATTTAGGTACAAAAAAAGCAAAATTTGGAGTTGGAACTGTATGATCAATGCCGATACGAGGAGTTCCATTCGAGAATTGCTCGTCAAATTCGAATTAGTAGATGTGGAAATTTCTAAAAATCGATTGCCTTTCTAGTAGCGACGTTTCGCAAATTGAAGGACTGTTTCTAAAGGGCCGAACGAATTCCTAAATTTGATTATAGGATCTTGGTATGGTTTAACCTCGTCCAGTGGATGTTATCAATTTCGTCTTTCCCACTTTGGTTAGGCAGAATGGTTTATCTTTAGGAAAATATTGAGGATTGTTTTTTATGCGCCGGTTAAGTCATAATCAATCGTTGTTTGAGGATGTAAACAGCTGCAATTTCGTGCTCTTCAAATATTTTTTTTTTTTGGTGTGTGTGAAGCTCGCTATTTAGTTTCATGGAGAATAAGTTTTTATATTGTATGGGGTCTACGTTAACGTGGGTATTAAGATCGCTTAATAAAATTAGGATACGGCATTAAAAAAATTAAACACATTTATAAGAAAATTTTATGTATTGAAGAACTGAAAATTCTCTTCATGGGATTAATTAAAAAGGGAATAATAATAAAAAAAAAGTCCTAAATATATTGTACGAATTCAATTCAATCCCACATCTTTCAATTTGACCAATTTAATCCTAAACATTTTGACAATTTGCCAATATAGTCCATCGGTCACTTTTGGTCGAAAATCGTTGATGTGGATACTAGTCATCCTTCGTGATACATTCGGAGCTAACGTTGACATTTTTTGTAATTTTTCTGAATTTTGCTCTTTTTTGCCTTTTCCTCTTTTTCTTTTTCTCTTATTTCCCTCCGCCAGTCCGCAACCTCAGTGAGGGTCACCAAACACAGGTGAGGGTTGGGACGCCCTCACCGGCCCTTGTTGGATCTGAGCGAGGGCGTTGCAACCCAGCCCTCGCCAAATCTGGGCTAGGCGAGGGGCCGCAAGCCCTTGCCGGCCTCATTTAAATAATAAAAAGAAAAAGAAAATAAAGTAAAAATATATATAATTATAAAAATTATTCGCATCAACACCGGCAGTGCTATGTAGACCGGCCGACGTCCACGTTAATGATTTTCGGCCAAAATTGATTGGATGGACTACGTTGGGAAATTGTCAAAATGTTTAGGACTTGATTGGCGAAATTAAAAGGTTTTGAACTGAATTGATACAAGTGCAATAGATTTATAACTTTTTTTGGTAATTATCCCCTTAAAAAACTAAAAATTCTTCTCATATGATTACTTAAAAGGTATCCTAGACTCTTATGATTAATAGTAGAACATGGTTATGGATAAGGTTTATAAACTGGACTATCATAATCATGTTAGGTGCTTTATATGGCCTACTTACATAAATGCCCATCATTTCCAATTTTAACACATTGGTGAAGTAACGAAGTCACATGAGTGTCATGGAAAATCAATTTATGTGGCGAAAATTGTTTAAAAAGTCCTAAATCTATTACGCTTTTGTCAATTCAATCCTAAATCTTTCAATTTATCAATTGAGTCCTAAACATTTTCACATTTTGTCAATTGAGTCCATCCAGCTAGTTTTGGATAGAATTCGTTGATGTAAATGCTGGGTGTCCTACGTGGCACAGTCATTACTGACGTGGACAATTTTTAATAATATTTTAATATTTTTCTAATTTTATTTTATTTCTTTCTTCTTCGTCCTTTTGTCGGTGATTGGCCATGGTCGAATGGGCTAGCCTCGCCTGGGCGAGGGTTGTCTTCACCACCATAGGCGAGGCCGCCCTGGCTTGGGCAAGAATCGGCCTCCCTAGATTTGGCAAGGGGAGCCCTTGTCGGGGCTCGCTTGTGGCAAGCAACGTCAACCTTGCCCAGGCGAGGCCAGCCTGTCCGGCCATGGTCGATTATTAGCAAAAGGAAGAAGAAAGGAAAGAAAATAAAAACAAAAACAAAAAATTGAAAAAAGTATTTTAAAAAATTGTCCATGTCAACGTCAGTCGTGCCACGTAGAACAACCGACATTCACGTCAGTGAATTCTACCAAAATTGGCCGGATGAACTCAATTGGCAAAATGTTTAAGATTCAATTAGCAAAATTGAAATGTTTAGTATTGAATTGGCAAAAACACGAAGAAAACCAATCATTCCCCTTTCTCAATCCATGGGCTTTCCCTTCGTTTCTGTCTCTTCCAAGAAAAAACGTGAAGTGATCATATTTAGGGTTTCCAGATTAAGCCATTGCCCTCTCTCGTGTTCCCTTTATCATTGCCGAAGGGCAAAGTTCTCAAGAGACGTGCACGAGTGTACAATGCATTGAGATAAATTGAAGTCCCATGTCGAATACGTACGGATGAATTGAGTGACTTATAATATGGTTCCGCAATTCTTAAAGTCGATCATTTTGGAATTGGCGTGCCGGACTCATCTTCACCCTTCTTATGGGCTAAAAACAAGGGGTAATCTAGTACGGAGAAAGGAAGAAAGAGAAGAATTTTGAGTGCTTTGGTCGTGTCAAAGGGACAACGAATGCAACGACCTCCGAAATGTCCTCCAATCGGCACAAAATAACGAAACCGAATCTGCCTTGTCTGTTTGCTTGGCTGCGCTTTTCTTCTTTTGATAGAACATCATAGGATAACGTGTACAAGGTTCTCATGTTCCCAAGAAAATAGACAACGTAAAAATCATTTTCATTCGAGAGGAGGAGTAGTGCCGTGGCTTCCCAAAAGTCAAGCTTCTCAGCAGCTTCGCATGATCTTGCTTCTTTGCACGATAATAATTAGCGTTTTGCTTGCACGACACTCCGTTTCTGTTATCATGTCCCTAAAAGCTTTATACCCGATGTTTTTTTTTTTTGCTAACAAGCTTTATACCCGATGTGTTCTGGCATGTGGAAGTGCCTTAGTACAGATGGCTTGTGCATGAAATCGACAACGTGAGAAAGAATGGTCGTTTCTTGGACCGTTAGGGTGGCGATTTCGGACAGTTTGCTAGTGCCCAGCTGAAGACGAAAATAGGAACAGTTGGAGTTGGTTAGTCCATTACAATCATGTGCAATGGATAAACCGACTTGCTATAATATTTGGCCTAATGCATCTGACAGTCGCCTAACATATCTCTTATTTTTATGAGCATATATCCTCGCCCTTAAAATTCATGTCTATGTTCTCTTGCTCAAAATCATCCAAATCCATATAGAATCGGACGTATGCATAGGTGTGCCAAGGAACTAGTACAAAGTAAAAAGAACTTCTATTTTTTTAAGGAATCGGAATCTTCTATACGAAAGTTTCATTCTTTTCCATCCCGCAACCTTTTTGAAAAAAATCAAATCTCAATTTATCTCTTTTTCCATATAAAAGAATTCAATTAATAGGTTTTGTCTAATTGTTTAAATGTCGAATTTTATGCATACACGCAACGTGTTTACATATTTTCTGTTTAAGATAAATCTGAAAACCGCTACATTGAGTGATAAGATAGATTGCGAGCGAAAATTCAAATGGGTGAGTTACATCCAACACCAATAAAAGTCTGCAAACTCTATACCCAAATGATATAGACAGAACTTACATAGTCCATTTCATTTCCTATGTTCACAAGAAAACTTCATTGCAAGCATGGGATGCATATTTAAGCAATCGATTTACTCTTTATTTATGTAGCTATGGACAGGGGATAGGACGGGACAGGATAGGACGGAACGAGACGAGGCGGGGCGGGCCGGGGCTGGGATGGACATGCTCCGCCACTGCCTCGTTCCTCAATGCAAGGCGGGGCAGTCGAGTAAGGTAAACTTCTACAAACTAGTTAA